CATGAGGTACCACCTCACACCGGTCAGAATGGCCTTCATAAACAGATCCACAAACAACAGGTGCTGGCGAGGCTGTGGAGAAAAGGGAACCCTAGTCCACTGTTGGTGGGAATGCAGACTGGTGCAGCCACTATGGAAAGCAGTGTGGAATTTCCTCAGAAAGCTGAAAATGGAACTGCCTTTTGATCCAGCGATTCCCCTGCTGGGACTATACCCTGAGAACACCAAAACGCCAATACAAAAGAACCTATGCACTCCAATGTTCATAGCAGCACAATTTACAATAGCCAAGTGTTGGAAGCAACCTAGATGCCCATCAGTAGATGACTGGATCAAAAAATTATGGTACATATACACAATGGAATACTACGCAGCAGAAAGAAAAAAAGAAGTACTAAACTTTGCGACAGCATGGATGGAACTGGAGAGCATCATGCTAAGCGAAATAAGCCAGGGGGCGAAAGACAAATACCATATGATCTCACCTATAAGCGGAACCTAACCAACAATGCAAAGAAGCAAGGAAAATATGACCAGCAACACTGAAAGGAAAAGAAATCAACAGAGACAAGAGGGAAGGGGCGGGCAGGGAAAGGGAAGGGAAGGGGAAAGTCAAGGAACATATAGCAAGGACTCATGGACAAAACCAAAGGGGAAGAGCTGAGGGAGGGAGGGTGGGAGGGGGCAAGGGAAAGAGGTGGGGGGAAAGCAGAGACAAATGTATTTAAAAAGTAAATAAATTAATTTTAAAAAAATAAATAAAAAAAAAACAAATACATAGGGGAACATTCGACCTCCCTAATGAATGCAAATAAAATAAAATCCCATTTTTCATAAAAAAAAAGAAAACATTAGCAAAATGAAAAGGGAGCCAACCCTATGGGAAAATATATTCGCTAATGATACATCAGATAGAGGTTTGATCTCCAAGATATATAAAGAACTCACTCGACTCCACTCCAAGAAGACAAACGATCCAATCAAAAAATGGGCCAAGGACCTGGGCGGATGCTTTTCCAAGGAGGAGATACAGAGGGCCCAGAGGCATTTGAAAGGATGCTCTGCATCACTAGCCATCAGAGAAATGCAGATCAAAACCACCATGAGGTACCACCTCACACCGGTCAGAATGGCCATCATAAACAAATCCACAAACAACAGGTGCTGGCGAGGCTGTGGAGAAAAGGGAACCCTAGTACACTGTTGGTGGAAATGCAGACTGGTGTAGCCACTGTGGAAAGCAGTGTGGAATTTCCTCAAAAGTTGAAAATGGAACTGCCTTATAATCCTGTGATTCCCCTGCTGGGACTATACCCTAAGAACACCATAACGCCAATACAAAAGAACCTATGCACCTCAATGTTCATCGCAGCACAATTTACAATAGCCAAGTGTTGGAAGCAACCTAGATGCCCATCAGTAGATGATTGGATCAAAAAGGCATGGTACATATACACAATGGAATATACGCAGCAGAAAGAAAAAAAGAAGTACTAAACTTTGCGACAGCATGGATGGAACTGGAGAGCATCATGCTAAGCGAAATAAGCCAGGGGGCGAAAGACAAATACCATATGATCTCACCTACAAGTGGAACTTAACCAACAATACAAAGATGCAAGGAAAATAAGACGAGCAACACTGAAAGGAAAAGAAATCAACAGAGACAAGGGGGAAGGAGGGAGGGGGACAAGGAAGGGAAGGGGAAAGTCAAGGAACATATAGGAAGGACTCATGGACATAACCAAAGGGGAAGAGTTGAGGGAGGGAAGGAGGGAGGGGGTAAGAGAAAGTGGTGGGTGGTTGGCAGAGACAAATGTATTTGAAAAAATAAAATAAATTAAAATAAAATTTAAAAAAAACATGAAAAAACCCCCCACAAAATAAACTAATGAACAAAATAAACCACAAGCATGTTCAATAAATACTTTTATTGCCTATTTTAATGTGTATCAATTATAAATTCAACACATTTTTTAGTTTATTGATTTTATTTTCATTTTTTCCACATTATTTATTTACTTTTTGTTTTTCAAGTACAGTTATCTCCATTTTGTCCCCCCACTCCCCTCCTCCCTGCCCATCCCCACCTCCAACCCTCAATCCTATCCTCTTTTTGGCTTCATCCATGTGTCCTTTATACATGTTCCTTGATGACCCCTCCCCTTCTTTCCTGCACTATCCCCCGTCCCGTCCCCTCTGGTTACTATCAGTTTGTTTTTTATTTCAATGTATCTGGTTATATTTTGCTTTCTTGTTTGTTAAGTGCCTATCAGTAAATGAATTTATCAAAAAACTATGGTACATTTACACAATGGAATACTATGGAACAGAAAGAAAGAAGGAGCTCATACCCTTCACAACAACATGGATGACTGGGAAGAGGCTTATGCAAAGTGAAATAAGCCAGGCAGTGAAAGAAAAATACCATATTATCTTAACTATAAGTGGAACCTAATCAATAAAGCAAACAAATAAATTATAAATTCAAAACATCTTGATTTCTATGTATTTTCTTATGTGCTACCTGGTGCTTTGTTCATCTTTTCTTATTTGTTCCTTTTGTCCCAATTTCACATATGCTCATCTTTTGGATCTATAAATAATTTTCATTCCTGGCATTAAATGCACACATGGTTTATGTTCATATTTATAATGTGAAGAAAATAAGGCTAAATTGCCAAATGTAAAGTTCATATTACACACGTATATATATTGTATATGAGTATTACATTCTAGTTATAAAATTTGTATCTTTCATTGCAGAAAATGTGAAAATAAACAAGTTAAAAATATTGAATGCCTGATTTCCAAATATTTATTTTGTTGGTTTACAAATATTCTCACAATGAAATGTCACATTCACAAATATAGGCAAAGCAATTTAATATTAGGATTTAATGAAAGTAAATGATATAGTGAACGAGAGTAGTCAACAGCTCATAGCAATTATTGCTATGATATTAGTCATAGGCCATGGGGAAGGTTTCCTTGAATTCAGGGTCAATATTGATATAAACTCCCTATCAGTTTTTAATATGTTTTCTATTTCAGAAGATGATGAAGTATGAAGTCATACTGCAAATTCAAAACTGTTTTTTCTCATTTCATTCTGGTATAGTAAAGAACTCTTGAGGTTAAGTGCAGAATTTCTGAGAAAAATATGGACTCCTTGTACAATCATAGACAAGTTATATTCTAAATCAAACTTTCACACACTCAATATCACATCTTGTTTATATATTTGCCTCATTTAACTCATTCATTTTATTAAGCTTTATCAATATTTATAAAAATGATTCATCCCTATCTTTTAATGATGCCTTTCTTTGGCACTCTGTTTACTTAATGAACTCCCCTGAGCCAACCAAAAAGAAAGATAAAATAAATGCTGCTCTACCTGTATGACATGTTTAGAGGACATTTATATTTTTTATTTTTAAAACAGCACTTGCAGGAAAATATCGCAGTCTCTGACATGTAAGGAAAATATTACTTAGATTTTATAGATGTATAATCATAGAATTACAAAATATTCATTTGCAATATTTACATAAATACAAAGAAAATCTTTAATAAATGTTTTTTATTCTCTTGTCCAAGCAGGTGTAACTGAGTTAGTGCATGGATCTTTGGTGAGAGACAAAAAACAGGAATGAGTTGTACAATAATAATATGTTCTAAAATATTTACAATACCAGGAATGAAGAATATTGTCAAATATTACTCTAGTCTACAAATAAACAGAACTATGAACCCTGAGAGCCATGAAAAATTTAAATTACCACACTTGTTTTGAAAGAACAATGAAGATCAAATAAATTTCTAACTCAATTTATCAGCTCTGAAATTATGTAAATATTAAGCCAATCAGACAATTAAATTTGAGGCTAAATCATCAAGAAGAAGCAAGAAGTAAGTAAATATGTTATTCTTCAACATAATATTCCATTTTATTCAAATGTTTAAAAATTTATTTGCATATGTATTTGTGGATTTACCTATCTTTCAATATTAAAAGTTAAATAATTATTTACTACCAAGAAAACTATTAATGGATTCCTAAAGCAAGAACCCAGAAATAAGTTTTGGGTTGTTTAGTTATATTTTTCTAAGTTTAATGGTATTCTGTTATAGAAATAGGATTCTAACAGGATTATTCCCTATTAGAAAGAATATCTCCTTCTCAGTAAATGTTATTTTGGCCATTTGTTTCTTTGTTATAGCAATAATGAAAAAAAAGAATTGGGCATTGTATAAATTAAACTATTTCTAGGCAATTATTTATTTCAATAACAGAAGTTTACCTTTCTTGTTTTTCTGACCTTTTTATCAGGAAAGGGAAAAAAATGATGCAGAGAGAGTAATAGCATCAACCAAACCCTTAAGAAAGTAATGTAGAAATGAATGCCAGCAAACATTCCCATGGATAAACATGTATGCTCTAGGGTGAGATGATTACTGTGTTGACTAGTTGTTTCACTTTGTAAAAGTCTTCTAAACTAGGTAATCCTCAAAATATAAAATGTGATGATTGGCCAAACTAAGTTCTGTGAACTTTTAAACTCTGTTATTTAAATTATCCACAATTTAGACTATTTTTTTATAATATTGAGGAAAAGAAAAAGATCAATTAGAATATTTTTATATTTTTAGAAGGAGCTAAATATTTTAAAGAATAATTAAAAGCATAATTTTAAAGAAACATTAGAAGAAATAGCTTTTGCTTAAATGTTAGCAGAATATTTTTTCCATGGTATGTGTATTTTCAAACAAAAGAGGTTATATTTAACTTCAGCTAATATTCATTATTTGAATGTAAGGTAGAAAGGAAATTGGAGAGAGTGGCTGATGGGGGATGTGTTTGGAATTTCATAGATTATTCATCATCATAGATATTGAAAAATTTTTATACTCTATCATCAGTTTAGTTTTAACTTTTTTATGTTCTGGAAGGGAAACATATATTTTCTGTTCTGAAGGCAGGGAAAGGATCGGCAATGGGAAACCATACAGTACCCACAGAATTCATTCTTCTGGGACTATCAGATGATCCAGGACTTCAGACTGTTATTTTTCTCTTTTTAATCATCACATATATATTAAGTGTCTCTGGAAATCTGACCATTGTCATACTCACCTTGGTGGATTCTCATCTACAGACCCCTATGTATTTCTTCCTCAGGAACTTCTCTGTATTAGAAATATCCTTTACAACTGTCTGTATTCCTAGATTTTTGGGCACAATTATCACCAAAGACAACACAATTTCATACAATAATTGCATGGCTCAACTGTTTTTCTTCATCTTCATGGGTACAACTGAATTTTATCTTCTAACCGCTATGTCTTATGATCGCTATGTAGCCATCTGCAAACCCCTGCATTACACAACCATCATGAATAAAAGAGTCTGCATATTGCTTGTCCTTTGTTCTTGGGTGACAGGCTTCTTAAATATTTTCCCACCAGTTATTCTTTTTCTCCAATTAGATTACTGTGGCTCCATTGTCATTGATCACTTTGCCTGTGACTATTTTCCCCTCTTGCAATTGTCCTGCTCAGACACCTGGCTTCTGGAAGTGATTGGTTTTTATTCTGCAACAGTGATTCTGCTTTTCACTTTGGCATTAATAATTCTATCCTACATGTTCATCATTAGGACAATTCTAAAACTGCCTTCTGCCAGCCAGAGAAAGAAGGCACTTTCTACATGCTCCTCTCACATGATTGTCATTTCCATCTCCTATGGAAGCTGCATATTCATGTATGCCAACCCTTCAGCAAAAGAAAAGGCATCATTGACCAAAGGAGTAGCTATTCTGAATACTTCTGTTGCTCCTATGATGAATCCATTTATATATACCTTGAGGAACCAGCAAGTGAAGCAAGCTTTTCAGGATGCTATTCAAAAGGTTACCTTTTTCTCTGGTAAATGAAAGTACTAATCGCATTAAAAGAATAAAATTCTTATCAATGCTTTCTATTATTCATACCCTCTCAAAACATGCTTTCCTTCATTACAATTATTTTTACTTTATATTATCATATTAAAATTTCCTAAATGTTAAGCTCAAAAAATTTGAAAAAGCTGAATATTGCTTGAAAATATTCTGCAAGTTCAAATATTTTATTCAAATGCAGTTGGGTGAAGCAAAAAAACCTGGCTAAATGATTATGATTTTGAGTAGAAGGTATTTACTTTTGAAGAGACAGAGCATTTAGTTTGACGAAAGATGTCAGGATAGACTTGAAATTCTGAACTTTTCATTCTTACCAGGTAATAGAAATAAATGTTATTAGAAAATTTTGATTTTATTTGGCATTTGAATGAAATCATAGTCACTACCACCAGGGGTTGGTGAACAAAATCTAAACATTTACATAAATATATTAAGTGATTATAAACTCACATATGTTAAAATTATTTATGATGTTAATAATAATTATAATGAGAAGGAAAAGAAGGATGAGGAGGAAGGGCAGAAAATAAATTCAGCAATTACTAAATGCTAGTTATTGTTTGCTTTGTATTGGCTCATTGAGTCCTGCAAATAACTTTATGAGGTATCTACAATTATTATCCTCTTTTAGTCAGAGGTATTTTTCTTTAGTTAGATTAACTATCTCCAAAACTTATAGGCAGAGAACAGACAATGTAAAATATATCAAGTAAAATGCATGAAGCTATGATAAACTGGCAAGAGTTCAACTTTCTGGAGAACTGAGCTTTAACTGGAGGACTTTGACTTTAGGGATCTGTGAAGTAGGGAAGAGAAATAACATCTGTTGATAATATTCTACACACTATTTTTTATTGGAAATATTAGATGAAATATTTATTTTACAAAACCTCTTAGAAAGTGAGCATTATTATTTCTAATTTATAGGTAAATGAACATAAGGAAATTGAGGTTGAGAGTTCATTGTTACACAGATTGTAACATCCAAATTGGTAATTAAATCAATTTTCTTTAATCTCAAAATCCATAACAGGATTACTTTCACTTTTACACTGGTTTTCACTAGTAATAATTATGAGTGGTTTATGTTAAATATTAGAATCATCAAAGGGCTTTCTAATGTGTGATTAACTCATACAGGTTTTACTTACTTATGATAGGTGCTGGGGATATAGCGATGAAAAATAGTGTGATTCTTGTCCTAAGTTATCTGATGATCTAACAGGAAGAAAAACTAATATAATTAAAATTTGATAAGTGCAACAATTTAGGTATAATTTGCCTATAGAACAGGTAATGTTGACAAAATAAATGTCAATTTTTTTGCCTCTTCTAGAAGAATTATGGCCAATTGCACAATAATTGATTGTAAGTCTTCATTTTAACCCTTGAGTCACAAGTGTTTGATAAACCTTGACTGCCATCACAGTTTTTACTTTTATTTTCTTTCTTGGTCATTATCTTGTGTATTATAAAAATTACATATATTTACTGAGTAAAAAAAAGTTACTGAGAATAGAATTATGATGGTCATAAAAGTTGTCTCCAATACTATTCCCTCGAGCCCCAACTTGTATTGTGAGTCATGGATTGATTATCATTTCAGTTTTACCTGTGTACTACTTACCTGTTGAAAGAATTTATACTAACGACCACAGTCTAGATTTCTAGGAGATGTTAAACTATTTCAAACACTTATTATTCTATATCTGGGAAAGAGTGATGCATATTTCTCAAATTAAGTCCATGCACAAAACAAAACAAAAAAAATGATACTATATATTGAATACACTAAGATGATACCTTATAAATAATAAAATAAATGTTTTCATACAATATTCTTTCTTAAATTAATATCTATATGTGGATATTAACAGCTTCATATAAGCAGAATAAAGATCTTGCAAACAATTTCTAATTCTCACATGATTGTGAATATTGTATTTTTTCCCATTACCATGTAGACCCCTTATTACTACAATTACCATACTGTTGTCCATTAAAGCAACTGGGTTGCAAGCATGCGCTAGCTATTTGGATTAATATAATATACCATCTTCACCCTGTAAGATTTCAGGTAATAGATAGAAAGGTAAACATGTATGAGTTAATCTTTTATAAATATACCAAATGCTATATCAATATAAAATATTTTTTGCTCACAACATTTGCAGTAATTCAGTAAGAAATTCCAGGTAAAATAGTAAATATAATCAAATGAATATTCTGGACAAAGACAATTATTATTGCAAATAACAGTTGTAAAAGTTAGAGAAGTGTATAGTGAATCATATGAAAAGACAGAAAATCAGTAATAATTCCTTTCTATAAGCTGTTTTATGATTCAATTTATTATGCACAAAATAGTAACTCTATAAACCAATACTAGCTTTTATCATGTTAATATTGTTTTAAAGTATGGTAAATGTCTTACTTATCCATCTAAGATTTTGTCTCTTTAAGTGAATATATTTTTTCTTTCTTTTAAAGAATGAACCATAAAAATTCATAGGAACTTTTATGTGGCTGATAAACATCAGAACAGTGACTCAAATCAGAGTTATGTTCCCCAAGTAAACCATTGTGCCAATTCTCTGGTAAGGAGAGAAACCTTGCAATATAAACATATACAAGGGAATCTTAGAATTTTAGAACCAAATGTTATTTAAATAATTTGTTCTTTCACAAAAATACTAAATGAGTCTTTCCAAAAATGCCAGGTTTGGCTTATGAGGATTTTATATTCCAGAAAATTAAACATTCAGAAGACAACTACTCTTTTGGAATTAAAGCTAACAGATACAGACAACAGTATGGTGGTTACCGGAGGGAAAGGGGTTTAGGGGAATAGTAAAAGGTAAAGGGGTTCAAATATGTGGTGAAGGAAGATTTGACTTTGGTGGTGGCCACACAGTGCAATATACAGATGAAATATCATAGAACTGTACACTTGAATCCTATAGAATCTTATTAACCAATGTCACTCCAATAAATTTAACTTTAAAAACTTAAATTTCTAAATTTAAATACAGAAATCACTTTAGCATATAAACTCAGAATTGCCCAACTCTTCTATTGGTAATTTCAGATGTAATATATACCTGCATGATAATTTAGTCTCTTATGGGCAAGATTCTCTGTAATTTCTGAATTGTGCACTGACTTATCCACAACACTAATTTCAGTCATAGCTATAGAATATGTGGTAGGTAACTCACTATCTCACTAACAGATATTATTTAGTCATTCTTCATCAGTCTGATTTGAGTCACAGTAAACCTTTGTATTCTTAGTTATTAAAGCTCTTTCATGTTAATCAGCCCTACATCTTTCTGATGTTAGGTCTCCTGTGCTGAAGTTCTCAAGCTCATGTTGCTTTTTTTGCTTCATCTATATAATTGAACCAGTATTCCTGTATTTTGCAGAATAAAGGATCACATGAACCTCTGGGAACGATGCAGTATGCTTACCAATATGATAGAAATTTTCACAATTTACTGAAATTTCATTTATCTTGACTATATTAATGGAGTATGAGCATTTCTCAACCAAAGGGGACAGTTTGTTCATCATTGCCTACCAAAGGATTATTGTATGGAAGTATTGACTAAAAATATTTGTTAAATTAATTAACAAATATATAGAAGTCTCTAAATGCCTACTTCCTATTTAAACTATTAAGATCTCTTGCTCTGACATCTTATTTGAACAAGTTTATATGTCTGGGTTTTCTAGGACTTCTTGTTTTTCAGAAACATAGACAGAAATTGCTGTAACCCTTCAACAATATTAGCCACCACTTAAACTCCTTATTCTACAAATGATACCTCTCTTGTTTTTTCAGGTCTACCTTTCAAGACCTCCCCTTGGACATTTAGGGCAAAATCTTATTTTAACCATTGATGTAAGCACTAGGGAGAAAGGATTTGGTTATAAAGATTCCTGATTTCACAGAATTGTTCTGGGATTTATGTGCCAGGGTGGTGACTTCACATGCCATAATGGCACAGGCAGCAACTCCATCTATGGGGAAAAATTTGATGATGAGAATTTCAGCCTGAAGCACACAGGTCCTGGCATCTTGTCCATGGAAAATGCTGGACCCAACACAAATGGTTCCCAGTTTTTCATCTGCACTGCCAAAACTGAGTGGCTGGATGGCAAGCATGTGGTCTTCAACCAGGTGAAAGACGGCATGGATATTGTGACAGTCATGGAGCACTATGGGTCTAGGAATGGCAAGACCAGCAAGATCACCATTACTGACTGTGGACTACTCTAATCGGTTTGACTCATGGTTTATCTTAACCATCAGACCATTCCTTCTGTAGCTTAGGAGAACACTCCTTCTCCCTCATCTGCTTGGAATATTCTATTATCTTCATGCTCTCACCACAGTTTATTGGGTTCCATATTTCCCTTACCCCTTCCAAGTCTAGCTGGATTGCAGAGTTAAGTTTATGATCATGAGATAAAAACTAAACAACAACAAAAACAAACAAACAACAAAAAAGAGTGGCTGGAAGTCACCAGATACACCCTTATGATTACATTCCTATGGATATACACTTTTAATGTTACCCTGAGATGTTTTCATATCCAGGGGTGTCCAATCTTTTGGCATCTCTGGGCCACACTGGAAGAAGAGGAGTTATCTTGGGTCACACATTAAAAACATTGCAACACACACACACACACACACACACACACACACACACACACGTACCTCATAAGGTTTTATGTAAATTTACAGTTCTGCTGAGCTGCATTCATAGCCACCCTGAGCTGCATGTAGCCCATCAGCAACAGGTTGGACACCCCTGAGATAACAGAGAAATATCACAATGATTCCAACAATTTATTAACTTAGGAAAGTTATCCTGCCATTACTCTTCAGACATCAGGGCTTCCCTGAGGTGAATTTCTTTCAGTCTGAATAGCGGCTCATCTACTCCCTCATTCACTCTGTACTTTTATAACCTCCAGAAGCACAAATCCATCTGTGTGATCTTTGGAAAAATTTTCTAATATGAAAATTAGGGAGATCATAGTAGTTTCCTCAAGGGATAGTTGTCAATATTGATTTAGATAATGCATAAAAGGGGCTTACAAACATGTGTGGTAACTTCCAAGTGCTTAAAAATTACAACTATTACTATTATCTTAAACAGTACTAATTTTAATGTAATGGTATATAGCCTTCCACATACAATTCACTCAAAATAATTCAGCTTTAGGCATCACAATAATATCTGGAAAACTGTCCTTGTGTAGTATATTATGAGGTACTGCTTCATCTGTACGGGGATTATAATAATCTTTACTTAATTTATTGATAAGAATAATTTAGACTTCTCTTTTGGACTTTGAAAACATTTTATTATGAATGTACTTATTTTCCATCTTTCAAATTTCTTCAAATGTCTATCTATATGCAGAGACTGCAAAGGCAATATTTTCAGTTGTCTTTGAAGGTAGGATTCTGTTTTAAATTTTTATTTATTGATTTTTAGAGAGAGAGAAATATTGATTTGTTGTTCCACCCATTTATGCATTTATTGGTTGATTCTTTTACATGCCCTGCCTTAAGATTGAACTTGCAACCGTGGCATATGCAGATGACACTCTAACCAACTGAGCTACCCAGCCAGGGCTGATGGCAGGATTCTAAATGTGATTTTAGTCCTTGCCAGGTGGTTCAGTTGGTTGGAGAGTTGTCTCATACACCTGAAGTTGTGGGTACAATCCCCAGTTGGGCACAGGTGTGAGGCAGCTGATTGATGTTTCTCTTGCACATTGATGTCTCTCCAATTCCCACCAACTTCCTCCATCTCTAAAATCAATAAAAACATATCCTAGGGTGAAAATTAAAAATAAATAAATATATTTTTACATATTTTAAAGTATATTTTAAATAAATAAATATTATTCTGCCAACTAGGTACATTCATATAATATATGAACTTTAAACTTGGTTATCATTGAGTATCTATATTGCTGGTGTAGATTATAGCAGATTCAGATGACCCTAAATCTTGTGGCAATAGTACTAGGTTCCTGAGCACTAGTACAAACAATAGTACTGGGTTTCTTTTCTCACAATAATGAAAACCCACTTGGGAAGAGAGTTTGAAATCATTCTATGAAACTCATCCTAAAATATGCCTTCAGCTCTCTTGATAATTCCTTTAGCTGTTCCTTACTCTATATTAAATAGGTTTATGTTTAAGTTGCTAGGGTGGATTCTGCTCTCTGAAACTGCACTTTATATATAAGAGCTAATCCAGGTAACAGATTCTGAAAGCAGTAACAATCTGGGATGAATATACTAACTTAGTTAGGTCCAAAGTCAGCAAAGATTCCATCAGGCAATTAAATACTGGTAGTCTACATTTACACACTAGCAAAGCAGAGCTCACCTAGAATTAAATGCCTACTAAAAGCAAAGTTGAATAAACTTGAATAATAAATGCAAAGCTTATGCAGTAGGTTGACTGTTTCCACATGCAGTAGAGAGCTTGAAGAAAGAAAATGCAACTTTAATGTTTCAATCATCTCATAACTGAAGAGGTGACTTATTCAAAATTAAATTCTGATCCTACAGACTCCTTAATTATAAAGTTGGTTTAATTCACAACTTTTCCACTTGTCTCATGTGAATGAATGTTAGGATGTTGGTTGGGAAAGAGTGAGGATTGAGAATTGGAATGAATCTTGAATTCAAAACCACAATCTAGACTGTCTTACAAACAGAAGGATCCATCTTCTGTTTCATGAAGTAGTCCAGGTATTGTTTAGAAACTCTTAATTACCTCACATGAAGGAATTAGCTTTAAATGTCTCCCTATCTTTGCTTTTACTGTTACTAGACTATTTTCAGACCTATGGTATGTATCAGAGTCAGGCATTATCCAGAAGATGATAAACACGTATAAACTCAGAAGCAAAAGGTTTACATATTAAAGTATTACAAGTGTGTGCTAATTTACTTTAACACAAATATGAAAACTTATATGCAGATAGAGTCTCATAAACCATGTCCAGGGAAGAAGAAAAATAATTATAAATTGTGCTGAATTTATTGAATATAGTGAATGTATCAGGAATTGTGGATTCCCTATGCCACCTTGAGTAGATGGGAGATGATCTGCTAGGTCCTCAGGTGATTAATAAATTAATGATTGAAAACTACCATATTTTTTGCCATATATAATGTGCACCTTTTTGCCCAAATTTTTGAGGGAAAAATAAGGATCCAAGTTATACATGGGTATAATGATTACATACCATGGGTATAATAACGGGTATAATAATCCCATGTATAATGTGCACAAAAACATGGGTGTACATTATCCATGGCAAAATGAGGTAGCCCATAACAAAAAAGTTGAAATAGTACTTAATATAGAGTTTTATATCAATACATTGATGTGATAGGCAGGTTACAATGCATTCAACACCTTCAAGCTATTTCTTAATCTCCAAACTCTATTCACTAAAACACATAGAGTTGAAACAAATACATTGTATTTTATTTTAACTGCAGACAAGGTTAAGTGGGGTTGATGATGAAAGTGGGAGTGCTGCTACTGAAGCACCCCTGAAGCATCCTGCTAATGCATTCCTTAAGTCTTGGAATGATGTAATCAAGTTATTGATCAATTTACAAAAGCATATGTAAAGTGGTAATGAAAATAATAATTCACAGAGATGTACCTACCTTTGTTATAAGAAATTAATCATGAAAATGTAGGACAAAAATAAATGGGCAACCTACTAAGGTAATTTTTATTCAACAATAATAGTGAAAGCAATAATAATAACAGTAAATCTTATTAATGGAAGCCTTATTTGAATTATCATGATGAATGACAAACTTTCATCCAATCCAGATTTAAATCAGTTTCCAGAAAAAGAACATCTATGAAGCGGAAAGTAACCTGTTGCAATTTATGAAAGACCCCACAGTTTCACCCCTCACATGCAGTAAATCTCTTGGACAGTTTAGAGTGGCTACTTACCTGAAAGAGCAGCCAATAATCACTTTAAATTTAAATGGCTTAAACGCTCTAATCAAAAGACATAGGGTGGGTGAATGCATAAGAAAACAAGACCCATATTCACTGAGGCCTGTCCAGAAAAAGTCCAACCACTGTTAATATGAGAATGGTTTCTGTGACATCGATGTAACCTGGAAGCCAAGAAGAGTGGACTGGAATGCGCATGTGTGAAAAATGACAACTTCACTGTACTAGTCAGTGGGGGTGGTAGGTAGATGCCACTTAGTGAACATGTGTACTGTGTGGCTATCACTTTCAAAGTGACTAGGTGAGTAGAACAATGAATCTGCATCATATTTTGCATTAAGCTTGAACATTCCTCTGTGGAAACTATTTGGATGATTTAGGAGTCCACAGCTATGGGTAACTGGTGATTGGCAGTTTCATCATGACAACATGCCTGCTCTTGCAACACATCTTGTGTGGAGTTTTTTTGCAAAACATCAACTCACCCAGGTGTCTCAGCCCCACTACAGCTCAGATATGGTGCCCTGTGACTTCTGGTTGTTCTCAAAATTAAAATCACCTTTGAAAGGGAAGAGAATTCAAACCATCAGTGAGATTCAGGAAACTATAATGGGGCAGCTGATGGTGATTGAGAGAACTGTGTGAGGTCCCAAGGTGCCTACTTTGTAAGGGACTGAGGCATCATTGTCCTATGTACAATATTTCATGGCCAGATACCTTCTAGAAAGACTGACTGTCTATAAGAGACTTACCTCAGAACAAAGATACCAACAGACTAAAAGTAAAAAGATGGAGATATATATTTTGAGCAAAATGAAATTTTAGAAAAGCTGGGGCAGCAATACTTATGACAGATAAAATAGACTTTACAACAAGCTATAATAAAAGACAAAGAAAAAAACAAAATGATCTTGGGAACAATCTAACAAGAAGATATAACCCCTGTAAAAATTACACACCCAACATTGGAGCACCTAAATACATAAAGCAAATCTTGATGGGAAAAACAGTCCTAGTAGGAGATTTTATCACCCCATTGACATCAATTGATAGATCTTCAAGACAGAAACTTAACAAGGAAACAGTGGCCTTAAATGATACACTATATTAAATGTATTTATTTGATATCTACAGAGCATTTAACCTCAAAGCAGCAAAATATGCATTCTTTTCAAGTGCACATGGAACATTTTCTAAGATAAACCATATGTTAGGACACAGAACAAGTCTCAAGAAATTCAAGGTTGAAATCATA